CAAGTGTCGAAAGTTCCGTTGGAATCGGAGTATTTACTCCGTTTCCACGTGACTTCCGAGGTTCCTTGCTATCCCGTGGACCGCGCTGGGTCCCGCAGGGCCGCGCGCTATCGTAGGCACCGCCCCCTCTGGGGGCTCTCGGATTTATCGCCCTACGCGTGTGTCGGCTTTTATGCCACCCCGTATGGCGATTCCGTGAGTCCCACGGGTGTCGGCGTGTGAACGAGTATTTCTGAGTCTTGTTCCGCGCGCTCTGCTTACCGTCTAGTTCTACCCCTGTGGAACTGGTGCGGCTAAAGCTAGAGTCAGACAGGCGTTTTCCCCCTATCAGTCTACCCCATTCCCCTTCCCTTCCAGACTCTTTCTACTGGCCCTTTAGGCCAGCCCTTTACTCACCTGTTACTTTATTTATGTCCAATACTAATGTACATAAATCTTTATCTCTATCTGTCCTTCCATTGGTAAATACACTGGATCTTATTCGTGGTCTGTGGGAAATCACTCGGCGTATATATATTCCTCAGACCTCCGCTGTCCCGATGATCCACCGGTATGGGAACAACTGGAGAGTCATTGCTATCTTGGTGGCAAGCCCCTTCGCGTGGCCATTACTCGGATTATTCCGGTAATGGAGGGGTGCAGGAATAGCTTTTGACAACAAGAGGCAAGAGACGAGACATTTTTAAACTTGCTTTCTACCTCCGTGGCGTCGTGGTGCCGCCGGCTACGGCCTAGTGCACCAAATGCAGGGTTCAATTCTCCTCTGTCCCCTGTTTCCTTGACAGAACACTCATCAAAATATTTATTTAGCACTGGCCCAGCCACAAGGTAGCAGATAGGGTGGACGGGTAGGTATTGCCACGTAGCCCAAATGGAAACGGCCTGATGGACGATGGGTTTCAGCCTATAGGATCCACAAGACGACAAAAACTACTTCACAAATTGTTTTTGAAAAACATGAATTTTGGATTACGGTATTCAGTTGCTGTGGGAGGGGGGAAATTTGTCCAAAAAGTTCCGTTTCGAGCCAAGATTGAGAAAGATGCATAATAACGACAAAGTGGTAGAGTATTTTGGAGTATAGCGGAATCAGCTCTAGCTTAGCAAGATTTTTTAGAACTCGGCGAGTGGGCCCAAAAAGTATTTCAAAAAATTCCGCTGTAATGAACTACAATTTGCAAATGCAACAATAACGGGTAAAATTTAGAAAAGTAGTAAAGTTTAGCATAGGAACACTCACCTTACGTTACCGACCTGATATGCATACCCCTTCGGGCCTGGTTTAGAATTGTAGTGCCTTTTAGGTCTTGAGAGCATAGATGTTACATGCTCCAAGACCAAGTGACTACTATGGGAGTGGCACCCCTAGCTAGGGTAGAGAGGGATTAAGGGTGCCCACGGGTCAAGGTCACGGTCGCTTGGGGTCAACAAACATACGCGTGCGCCAAACCGAAGCCAAGCCTATGCCTAAGCCCGAGCTGAAGCCCAAGCCTAAGCCTAAGTTTAAGCCCAAAACAAAACCTAAGCCTTAGCCCTAAGACCAAGTCTAATCCCCAAGGCCGAAACCTAAACCTAAGCTAAGCCTCAGCCCAAGCCCAAGCCAAAACCTAAACCTAAGCCGAAGCCTTAATAAGCTGGAGACCTAAAGGGCTAGGCGAGACAGTTGGTGTCCAATTATTGATTGAGTTTATGATATCTACAGGTCGAGGGCGTAGTTCCTATTTAGCACGTTATCACCTACAGTTTTCTCTTAACCTGCTCCTCTACCTCTCTCTCTCTTTCTCTCTCTCTCTCTCCGTTTCTCTCGCTCCCTCTCTACCATCTCTATCTCTTTCTCTCGCCTATTCAAACTAGCTTTGGCTTGGCGTCCACTAATTTGCATCTCGTAAGCACAATCTGGCGCCGCCACCTGACGCCCAATTTTGCAGTGTGGATAAGTCGGCAAAGGGGATACATGAAAGGTTAATAAAAGACTAGTGATCTGGCGAATGGAGGTATCGAATTTATTGAAAAAGCAACCATGAAAACCCCTTTTAAAAATAGATTTTATTAAAAATGCGGCGCCACTCGATTTCAAATAACAAATCATATTGCGATTGTTTGGATGAGGGCTTCCTTCCCGGCAGTTCTATGCGTATTTTTTGGGCCTCCGCAATCGATCCTGGGTGCTAGCCTTCATCCTAATGCTTCACAAAACCTTGAGCAACTTGACAAGTTAGAAAATGCAAGCTTTGAATCGGTAGTAAGCTATCTTCCAGCACGGAAAGATTTTTTAGGAGAACGTCAAAATAATCGATGGCGAGCTGCGTGACATCGAGGACTACCGTTTCATGGTATCGATTCAGAAGCCCAGCATAAATGTGTATGTCTACATAACAATAAGCATGGCTTCGGTCTAGGCTTAGACTTGGGTTTAGGCTTAGGCTTAGCCTGGGGCTTAGGCTTAGTTTATAAACTTACTTGTGGTAGAAGATGTGTCGGTACAGTTTATATGTAGTTGTAGTATAAGAATATATATATGCACTTTAAGAATACTGAACTATTTTATAGCACCAAATACGGAAAGCGGTAATTCTGAATCGGTCGGAGGTGAAGTAAAGTTAGTGTCGATCCCTCTCATCTTATATAGGGCGCAGAACGGGTCGCGAGCCGGCATTCCAGAGCGTTCGCCCGACAGTTGCCGATGGCTGTTGTGGGGGCCGTGGGTCTCAAGGCGTCCAGCGGCCAGGCGTGGGCAGGGAGGATGGAGAAGAGAGTGGGATCGGATGTCTCGGGCTTCCGGGGGGGGAAACGGGGGATTTCCTGGTCTTCCGGTAGGAATAACTTTTTTCGCTACCGCTAGTTGTTGCGAGACTTACTTTGTTACTGAGTTAGGCTTAGGTTTATGTTTGAGCTTGACTTAGGCTTTGGGTTAGGCTTGGGCTCAAGCTTACTCTTTAGAAAAGGAACATTTCGCCATCATTGCGGTGGCTCAATCCTTGGCTATAGCTGGATACTAACAGCTGCTCACTGCATCACAGTTAAATTCGACAACACCAAAATGTAAGGCTGACGCAAAAAAAGGATTTTTCAACGTTTTTAGTCAGGATTTAACAGATTGGATCGTAGTTGCCGGTACGTCCAGGCTTGGCCCGTCTGGATCGCCGGAACCTTGGGCGGTAGGGAATTTAAAAAAAGTAATTTGTTTTTGAAAACCAGATTTTCATAAATTATAGTTGTAGAAATAGGAGTGGAGCAACCAATTTTTAGCAAAAAATGATGATCCAATCGGCCTACGTTAACCCAGACTGGACTTATGGTAAGTTTGGTCGTGTGAACGATGTCGCGCTTTTAAAGGTATAAGCTGGAGCTCGCTCTTTTTCTCTCCCTTTCTCTCTCTCTCTCTCTCTATCTCTCTCTCCCAATACTGCAATCTTTAGTTAACCAGACCCCTCAATCCTCGGCGGGTTTCGAAAATCTACCTTTGGAAAACCGTACCAATGGAGAACGTTCGGACAGTGGAAATGCTCCGGTTGGGGCAGCTTACAGCCTGCGGGTAATTGATATTGGCAATAATTTTTTGACTGCCATAGAGCAAACCACCAAATTCCTACGGGGTTATGCCACTACTCTGTACGAACCGTGCTATGAAGTGGAGGAGAAGGTGTTCTGCGTCGCGGGCAACGGGCGAGCTGGGCCTTGCCAAGTGAATTTTGAGCAGAAAAACTTAAAGAAGTCTATAAAAACCTAAAAGGTTTATCGAAAATGTCGGCATAAGAGTGAGGAGGGATTTCTCGATTCAGGGTGATTCTGGCGGTCCAGTTTTCATAAAAATGCAACTCCAATGGGAGTACATCCAACTTGGCATTATCTCCGGAATGCCCGGTGGAACCTGTGACTTCATCACGACGCCATGGAGTAGGTTTTTCAATCACATGCTCATTCAAAAATATTTTAGGTGTATTACAAGCAGGCCCGTAGGAGGGGGGGGGGCCCAGGGGGCCCTGGGCCCCCCCCCCGAAATCGGTCGAGGTGTGAAAAATTCATAAGGGGGGACCCTTATGATTTTTAATTAGAAAAATTTTTCTGCCTGCGGCGCTGTTTATTACTGTTTTTCAAACGGTTTTTACTTATATGAAGCATGTTTTTTTTAAATTTTTTGCCTGCGGCGCTGGTTTTTCGTTGGTGAATCAATTGTCATAAAAAATTTCGCCTGCGGCGCGTTTTCTGCCTTGTTTTCACACGAATTTGAGTGTAGCGAACGCTTTTTTGCTATTTTTTTGCCTGCGGCGCTATTATCGACGCGATTTTCGGATGTTTTAAAAGTGGCGACGGGGGGGAGGTCGCCAAAATTTTTGGGCCCCCGAAATTTCGGTTCCGCTACGGGCCTGATTACAAGCCTATTTTCCAGGTTATGCACAGCGGGTCTCTTGGTACTGTAGATGGATAGCCCGGACGACTCGGACGAATTTTGCTACGATCATGAGTATCATTAAAGGATGCTGAGTTTTAATAAATGATAATTCGACTTGGCAGAATTATGCAAATTAAATACATTAACGATCCCTGAGCGAGGTTAGAGAGAGAACGAAAGATTGAGAGAGAGAAAGACCGAGAGATTGCGACAGAGGGTGAGAGAAAGTGATAGAGAAGCCATGAAAGGCATTTCTGCTTCACGTGACTAAAACAAGGATAAAAATAGAGCTTATTCAAAATTCCGGCCTCGCGATCGGCATGAAATGAGAACCAGACCGATCGTTTTGATGCATGCTTCCCTTCCAACGGTACTAAGCGCATTTTTCGGGATTTCGGAATCGATCCAGCTGGACGCCATCTTCAAGCCTAATGATTCTCATCCTTTTGAAGCGGTTGAAATACCAAGCAAGGCAAATTCTGTGCAGGAAGTAGGCTGGATATCGAGTCCCTGAAATCCAAGAATTTAGGAAAACGTTAAGATAATTGATGGGGAGCTGCGCGAATTCGACAACTATCGGTTCATAGTATCGATTCAGAAACCTAACATGAATAGGTATAAAGAAGGTTTAGCTTGTCTTGGCTAGACCTAGCTGTAGGCTTAAGTCTAAACATAGGCTTAGGTTTGGCTTGATTTTTGGTTTTGACTTAGCTTAGACTTAAGTTTGGCTTACGTGTTTAGGAGAGGAACGTATCGTCACCATTGTGGTGGTACGATCATTGGTTGGAGCTGGATACTAACAGCTGCTCACTGTCTTACTGTCAAGTACGACAATACCCAATTGTAAGTATGGCTCTAGCATTGTAATGTCTGGTGTTGTGTCGTGTAAACGGGTCACAATTTTTTGGTGATTTTCAGCGAGGATTTGACCGACTGGATCGTTGTTGCGGGCACGTGTAGACTTGGGCCAACGGGATCATCGGAACCCGGAGCCGTATAAATGTGGACTAAAACTAACCTTAACAAGCTTTAGCAAAAAATTAAAATCCAGGCCGCGTACGTGAGCCCTGATTGGACGTATGGGAAGTATGGGAATCGTGTCAATGATGTTGGGTTGTTAAAGGTATGTGTGTGTAGTAGCCTTCGATGTCTCAACCGGTCCCTCTCACTTCCTCACCCTCTCTCTCTCTCGCTCTCTCTCTCTCTCTCTCTCTCGCGCTTCTCCGGTCCTTTTTAGTTAATGCGACCCCTCAAGCCGAATGGAATCTCCAGAATCTATCTTTGGAAGACCCTACCAATGGAAAACGTGCGGCAAGTGGAAATCATCGGGTGGGGTAACCTGTATCCTGGAGGTACGGTATTATTATTATTATCAATTTAATGACGCTCTTCAGGACCAACCACAGATGTTTTGCGGGGCTACACCACCACACTCTACGAGCCATGCTTTGAGGTAGAGGAGAAGATGCTCTGCGTCGCCGGGAAAGGAAGAGTTGGGCCTTGCAAGGTCGGATTTTGGATCGTGCTTACTTTTAATAAAAACACATACCTATAGAGAGATCTAGACATTTTTAGGGGCAGGCAGATATGCCTAAATCACACATACAAAAGACTTTCCTAAAAGCCCGGTTTATGCAAGCCCGTTACGTTACGTCTACATCTAGGGCGATTCTGGAGGCCCGGTTTTTACAAGGATGCAGCTGTTCCCTGGTCAATGGGAGCACATTCAAATTGGCATTACCACCGGAATGCCCGAGGGAACCTGTGATTTCATCACAACGCCTTGGAGTCTGTATTTTAAAGGAAATAACCCGCTTAGGACAATTTAGGCTACGCACAACGAGTCTCGTGGTACTGTAAGTGGATAGCCAGAACGACCGGCACGAATTTTTGCTATGACCATGGTACCATTGAATGATGTGGATTTTCAATAAAGAATATGTTACGCAAAATGGAGCAAAACAGAGAGAGAGAGAGAGAGAGAGAGAGAGATGGAGAGAGAGAGAGAAAGAGATAGAGGGACAGAGAGAAGACGTCTAGCCATATCGTATTATTTATTGAATCGCCTCTCTTTTTGCAATATGATCTTTTTATGACATTTATGGGACGCTATAAAGGGACATTTTCCCTTTCGCCTTCTTTTTGTTCCCACCAAAATGCTGGCAGTTCTATGGACCGCATTGTTCTGTCTGGTAGGAATAATGAATTTTTTGATCCCTACCTCTTGCAGTTACATGTTGTTGTTGGCGGCACTGATGATCACCCGAACTTGAGTGTGGTTGGCCCAGTGGTGTGGCATTCCATTTAATTCATGCCTTGATATAATACATACTAGAGCAAGGTCGTTGGAGGCACCCACCAACCGATCGAAGAATTCCCTTTTCTAGGGACGCTGCAATCCTAGTATGTTGTTGTTGAGAGAGAGCAGAGAGAGAGAGAGAGAGCACGCGCGGGAGAGAGACATCGAGAGAGTGAAAGAAGGAGACAGAGAGATAGGCAAGTCCTGATTTAGCAAACACTTCTGCGGCGCCTCTATCATTGATGAGGAATGGATTCTGACCGCAGCGCATTGTATGGAGGGAGAAAAGTAGGGCGTTTAAAGTTATCGAAAATACCAGACATGGAAATTCCCTCGGGCCGAGCCCCGGGGCCGGGCCTGGAATCTAATTAACATGAAAAAAACACCCGCTTCCGGGCCCCGGAAAAATATGCAAATTCGCGGGGCCGAGCCCGGGCCCGGCCGAATTTTTCCGGGGCCGGGCTCGGCCGATTCGGCTCGGCCCCGGAAACTAAAGTAGCTGATTTGCGTCTAAATTCGGATGCTAATATGCAAATTTGCAATGAAAATTTTATGTGCGTTCGGGCTGTTAGGACATCGGTATCGGTAAAATTCATTGAACTTGGTTAATAATTCGTCCCAACTATCAAAAAGTACTAAAATACAGGTCTGAACCCGTTATGATCTGGCTGCAATAGACATGGAGATGTATGGCAACCTTTGAAAAAAATCATTTTTTCCAATTTGCATGAATATTTTGACTGAAGGTGATTTACAACCGGGATTTCTGATTAGCGTGCGGCCTTGCGGCCCCGGGCTCGGCCCCCATTTTCGCTTATCCCGGGGCCGTCGAACAAAGCCGAGCCGCGGCCCCGCCGGAAGTGGGGCCGAGCCCCGTCGGCCCGGCCGCATGCAAATTTTTGGGGCCGAAAAAGCCCCGCGGCCGGGCCCGTTGCCATGTCTGGAAAATACTGAAAATATCGGAGGCCAGTAATTTTGATATACAGAGTTTTACTGCTAATCATTTCATAGAATCGAAAACCTGTTCATCGCCGTCGGAACAAATGGATCTGACCGCAGCCATACTTCACAAGCGGTACGAATTTAGGTTTACAAGCTGCTTTTGTTTACCTCATCTTTAAGGGATGGCGCCAGCTAACCCTAGCTCATTACACAATTAATAAGAATCCAGGACAGATTTTAGCAAAAAGGCTACATATCCGAGGTATTCGTCAACCCCGGATACGTTGAGACGAATGACGAAATTTTGCTTCATGATCTGGCGCTGCTCAAGGTTTTCTAGGCAAATGTCGAATCTAGATCAAATTTAGCTGACCCGTCCGCTCAACCTAAGCGGAAGTGTGCGGAAAATATCTTTAAGGAAGAATTTGCTGCTTGAAGATGGGGCCGAGATGAAAAGCGCTGGGTGGGGCGCTTATGAGCCGGACGGTTGGTGCTCTCTCACTCTCTCTCTCACTCTCTCTTTCTCTGACATCAATTTTAGCCAAACCCGATCGACACCTTCGCCCAATATTGTTGCTCGGCTACACCGGAAAACTAGTGACGGGTCCGAAATGTCCAGAATCCGAAAATACCTATGAAATTTGCTTTGACGGGGAGACGGATAAGCAGGGACATTGTGTAGTAAGTGTCGAGTTACGTTATTTAAAGGGAGCGTGACAACACGGGTTCTCTCTACTTCTTCTGCATTTTGGTGGAGAAAAACGGGTGTCACCAGCCCCTAGTCCAAGAAAGGTGAATCTAGTTCTGGAAATCAAAATTATAGGTATATTTTTGGCTGTGGCCCGGTAAAAGCTATTTTCTAATTTTTTCGAGACGTTTCAACAAAGCTGGTCCTCTAATCGATCGACTGTCAATAATGCGTGATTTTAGGGCGACTCCGGCAGCCCGATCGCATACTACGACATTCCACTTCAAAACTACGTCCAGGTGACGTTGGTGAGCGCGAGTACCGGACCTGATTGCCGACCAGAAACTACCATGAGTGGGTTTTATCGAGTAACTTTTTCTCTATTGTCTCCATCCCTTGAAGCCGATTTTTAGCCAAGGGCCCGGACCTCACCAACTACTGCGATTGGTTCGAGAAGGTGATGGGGAAAGAAATATGTGTTTAATTATTGATAAAAATATCGATAAGCATAAAATAAGAAAACAAATCAGATTTTATATCGCTGAAATTGCACATTATTCAAGTATTCAACTCATAGATCGTCGAAAACGAAAAAGTCGGAAAAATCGTGGATTCGAGCGGAGGCAGCCGACCTAAAGCTACAGAGCAACTTTGAAGCCTGATGTTTTAGCATCAGAAATTAAGTATAAAAATGATTTTTGATTAATTGCTAAAATATGACATAATTTTTAATCTTCTTAAGCACGAATGCTGACTCACATGAAAATTTTCTTGCGCCAAAAATTTCCTGTATTTACGATACTTGGGCCAGCTTGCAGAAGTGCCGATAATGGGGGCGTAGGCCATCGCATTAGTTATCACGTTTTTCGGGCACGGCATATAAAGCTTGCCTTTGCGCCAGACCCGAAGCTTGATCAGTTTTGCTGTCTACGGAAAATGAGGTTATACGTGTTGATTTTGCTGGTTGCTGTATCGGGAATTAACGCCACGAATCCGTCGGTCATCTTCCGTCTCAACAGCCCGGGATGGGACTTTTTGAAGGAGACGGTGTTGCACATGGAAGTTTTCCGAGGGTGTTTTTGGAAAATAGAAGGCTGGCTTGTGGTCTGGCTCTTTCTTCCTATCATGCTTTCTTTCTCTCTCCATCCGTCTATCTCTCCCCCCTCTTTCTCTCGCTCTCTCTCCCTCTCTCTCTCCCGATCTAGTTTCTTAATATAAGTGCCAAAATTCGATCAAACAAAAATCGCTGAAAGTCTTGCTGACGTATAGCTAAGGAGACCTATAGTCAAAGTCAAGGGTCGCTAGTTTGTCAGGAACTCTTTATCAAAATTTTTAGGTAAAAGACTACGTGATGGGGCTGAAGATCCCGACGCAAAGCGGACGCCATTGGACGTTGGAAGGTATACGGATGACCGGAGTTGTGTTGCCAGAGTTGGTCACTTAACTTTGCATATGGCCTCTGCAACACAAAGGGTCAGAACAAACTTAATGTTCAGGCTCACTCACAATTTCACCGAGGACGGCATTGTGCTTGGGATGTCGGGGCTTGGGGTGTCCGCCTCAGGCCATGGTAGCTATCATAGATGGGTATGGTTTATGAAGGTGAGATGAAAAAAGACGAGATAAGTCTATAGCCAACGCTCTGCATTAATTAAAGGATCTCGCGTACGTGAGAATACTTAAAACGCAGATATTACAGTACACTTTCACCGGCGACATCGACGTGTGGACGAAAAAGGGTCGTGGCACCGGACTGGTTCGAATTGTGGCAAAAGACGGAATACCTCAAGTTGAGTACGAAAATTGTCAAGCGACGATTGGGGAAGTAAGCATCCGGTAAGCTTCTTCTTCTACCCCTATTTATGCTTACTACAGCGTCCAGTCAAGTATAAAATGGGTCTACGCGCTTATACGCGACTGGGTCGAAGGTACAGTAAGGCGAATGATTGATAAATCGGTTTGTGAATTATTTTAAATGAAGCGCGACCTCCTCAGATTTGCAACATACTCCAAATGGGTGTAAATGAAGTGAACAGGCGGCTGGCAACGATCCCACTCGAGTTTCAGTTGGGATCGGATTTTGCGCTGGTCTACAACATGACAAACATGGTGCACAGCAAGTAAGAACGAGAGTGAGCAAGATGGAGATGGAGAGAGAGATGGCGAGAGAGAGCGAGAGGCAGAGAAAGAGAGAGGGAGCTAGGGATAGAGCGAGTGATAAAGCGAGAGCGAGAGACATACATTTTGGGCCATTTTCAGCGATTTCTTCGAAGCACAACTCTCAGCCAACGTCTTGCACGGCCACGACACCTGCCCCTACGAGCCAGCGCCTCGAAAAGATGGTAATTTTTTCATTTGTTTCATTCGTTTGAAGAATTATTTAGCAAATTAAACTGAGGATTAGCTACATCCACGAATAATGAGTCATCTCAAGGACATTTAGGGCCCGCCATCTCCTCAATGGGAAACGTCTGGATATCCGAAACAGTCGGAAACTGCATAAGCTACAGCGCGGCCAAGGGCGGAATCATTCAATTCCTACTGACGAAGGATATCCCGGAAGCGACTACTTATCTGAGGACGACGTAGGTATCGATTTTTGACTTTGTAATTTGTTTAGCTGCCCATTTCGAGGCCGAAACGCTGTCTGCATGGCCACCTTCTGGCCTGAGATTGCGCAGAAATATCCTAAACAGTATGTCGACCTGCATATCAGGGCTAAGGGTGCGCCAAAGGTAGCGTAAAGTTTGCTTCAATTTGTGATACTGGACTTTGCTACCTTCCATATTTTGAAAAAATGGCTTTTTACCTATTCTTTAAGCTCAAACTCAATAAAGGATTTGGAAAAGTTCAAGGCTCGCTAGCAGTTGATATTTACATCCACCCAATGGCCGAAACAAGGGAAATTTTGGCTACGCTAGGGAAGTTTGAAAAATGGAAAATATCGTCGGGGTTTTTTTTAAGATGTTCAAACCGAGTCCAAGATGGTAATTCTTCTAAATGGCACACTACTAAGTGGCTATATTACTGGAACAATGGCTGAATTTAACCAAACTCATTCGATAATTGGGAATCTGCTGCCGGAGTAGGTTTTCTTGAGATGCCTCTCTATCGCTCTCTCCTAACGCTGTCCCTCTCTCGGGCCCTCTATCTCTCGATCGCTCTTTCTCTCTTTCCGGATTTTTGGATCACTAAATTTTCGATACCGTTTTTAGACAAAAAGAATCCTTCAAAAAGCTCTTCCTCGGAGTCATTGAGCTCGTCCTCGACGGCCTCTTCCGACAGGGATTCCCGATTCCCATCTTCAAAGAAGCAGCTTTGGCTCTATCACGTGAATTTTGATACCCTACGGCCATTTATACACAGCCTAGCGGCCAATTTCCCTTTTCTTAATTCAGCCAACTCCACGATCCAAACGATGCCCGACTTCATCCGTGTCGACGCCAACTTCATGCACCACGAAAATCATACCCAAACCGTTTTGATGACTGATGATAACGAATTGCTTTGATTAAATTGGGGTTCGCTTTTCTAAGATTTTGGTCGCAAACCCAAACTAGCTACACTGTGAATCATGAGTTTAGAAACTATTTTTGCCAAAAAATCCTGCGAATACGAACTTTTTGTCTGCCGGGCTGTAATTTATGCAATAAAGCGCATATACCGCGCTTGTCTGCACATCAAATTGTCCATTTTTTTCCTCAACGGTCTGAATTCTGTCGATTCAATGCCAATCAGAAAGTTATCTATACTTTTTCTGACCGTTCTGGTCGTAATCTTCCGTTCGATCCAGGTAATTCAACATGGTTAACGTAACAGAACGATTTAGGGCATCAAAATCCTAGACAAAACCAAACCTCTAAATTCCAGTGGCTTACATGTATGTTTCGTTATTTTTTTGAGCCCGATCATACCTAGAGGGGCATGAAATCCGCGGGCAGTGAGATTGTCAAGGATGTCCATAACTACCGTTTCATGGTATCAATTCAGAGACCGTTGCTGGATAGCGAGTGAGTCTTCACGAAAAAGGCGCTAGAAACATAGAAAGAGCGGGAGAGCTAGAAAGGAGAGAGAGCGAGAAAGGGAGAGATAGCGTGTGTGAGAGAGAGAAAGATAATTTGCAGTTTATTTGAACACGTCTGCGGCGGAACGATCCTAGGAGCAAGCTGGATCCTAACGGCCGCACATTGCGTTACGGTCGAGGGTAATAGGTTTCAGGTGTAAGTGCATCCAAGGCCTCATAGAAAAATAATAAAAACCGTCTAGGAGCGACTTGCGGCAATGGCAAGTGATTGCCGGGACGAGCCATATCAGTGAAATAGGATCTCCAGATACACAGGCGGTACTCTTGTTCTTACTCTTACTCTTACTCTCTCACTCTCTCTCTCTCTCTCTCTCTCTCTCTCTCTCTCTCTCGCTCTCTTGGTCTCTCTTCGCCCTCCCTCTCTGTAACTCCTTTGCAGCAGGGCAAACGAATCGCGCGCGCCGTTGTCAATCCAAACTACGGGCCTGAAGGAGAGCTCGGACGATTCGATATTGCCCTTCTACAAGTATATTGTATAAAGACAGTAAAAAACGTTGAATAACCTTAAGGTGGACACACCACTTCGTCAAACTCGTCGCATCTCAAATGCGATTTTGTGGCGAAACTCGCCGCTCTGGGCGAAGCGCATCGAGGTGGTCGGATGGGGTGAGATGGCCGATGGAGGTGCGGTTGATGCTCCTTTCAACCCTACTTTCAAACAATTTCTAGCCGGATATGAACCTACGCTTCGGAAATACACCACGAAGATCTTACACCAGGACTTTTGTGCAATGCATTATCAGCCCGGGATGTTCTGCCTGGTTGCGGGGAAGAACTTTGGTCAGTGTGCGGTACGTGGATCTTACCCTCGCCCTTTCTATCTCTTTCTTTCACGCTCACACACGATCTCTTTTTCTCTCTGTATTTTACTCTGTCTCTCTCTCTGTCTATCTTTTTCTCTTTTTTCTCTCTCTCGCTCTCGCGGATCATAATTTTCTAGGGCGACTCCGGCGGCCCTGTAATGGCTTTGACGGAAATGATACCAGGGGTAGATCAGTGGATCCAACTTGGCATCGTTCAAAGCACGGTCGGCGGATGCGAATATCTTCAATACTGGAACTACAGTATGCAATTGAACCCCTGTGACTCACAACCGACTTCGGACATCAGAATCGCCAAATTTTAGCTATGGAAACGAAAGTGGTTCCTTACTGCGACTGGATCTTCGAGGTGACGCAGACCAATTTTTGCAACGATTACCCTTACGAACACCTGAAACCGCAAATGGGCTGACTTCAATGAGAATAAAGATGTGAAGTAAGGGTTGACAGGGAGTCTATCTCGCAGTCTCGCTATACTGCAGTCCAGAGTTATAAGCTATAACCCTTTCCTTACCAAATGAGTAAGACGCCGCTTTCGACCGGTCGCCTGCTCGAATCTATAGATGTATCCAGGCCTTGCTCAGCCTTTTGAAAATGATTTTCCCGGTCTCGAAAGAGTTTTCGAGACTATTTTATCGAAGAACTGATTCACGTGCCGCGTTCACTTGACATTCGACTAATTCAAAAGGTCATAGAAATGCGGGGGAACCAAAATCTTCAGACTAATAGACACGAGAAAGTATAAATACCATCAGATCAGGCTAGAGATCATTCCTCAGAAATGCGTTCGTTCCTCTGGTTGACGGTCGGCTTTTTGGTAAGTGGTTCGCGCAATAGCTATAGAGTTTCACCTAGGCGCAAGCGGCTACGGGTTGCAAGGATCGAATCGTGGAAGCAGATGGCCTCCCGCCCGCGGTTTGTTTATTCTGCTATTTGATAAGTATCCAACATGAATTTGTTTGAAGGAGTAAATGCCGAGGAGAACTTTTTGGTGCCGAGCAGTGTAGTTCCAGAGCAAATGCAACAATTTTTTTAATTTTCAGGCACAAACCCTAAACCTTAGGCTAAACGCAAAATCACTTTAGAGCGGTATCGTCGGCGGGGTTGAGATATCAGTGGAAGACTACCCGTTCATCGTTTCCATTGGACACCTGTAAGCATTTGAATAGTTTTTCTGGATGGTAAGGTATTTGGTTTCTGGAGGCATTTGAAACTAATGATGGTATCCATGGTATCCATGGTATACTGGGTAACGATACTATGGACACACTTGCAGCGACAGCGTCACGAAGAAATTTGAGCACCAGTGCGGGGCTTCGATCATCGACCAAAGATGGCTACTGACCGCCGGCCATTGCCTGTGAGTTTGCGTTCGGTTAACCCTTGCTTGGATCTTAGACGAAGCTTAGGCGTGAACGGCGCGGTAGCTGGTTCTACCCACACAGGCGCACATCCCGACAAAAACGCGGTATCTCATTTGCATTTAACTGAAGGTTTGGGAAAATACACCGCCAGTCTGCATTCTTATAGCTATTCTTCAGATCATGTTTGTTTTGAAGTTTTTTACTTAGTATGCATCATGCTCATGTCTAGCCTTTTAGCAGACCTTCGCTTTCGAAGAGAAGCATACCCACCCAGACTACATAGACGAAGACGGTTTTCCTCAAGACGACGTTGCGTTGATTAAGGTATACCACTTCTCCTTACGGAAACAGACCAATCCGTTTGCAGTTGGCAAAGCCTATTCAGTATGGTCTACGTGTACAACCGCTGGTGCTAACCAGAAAATTGGAAATTGCAAATGACACAAACATCGTCATTCTTGGGTGGGGCTTAACAAAAGCAGGAGGTGTGTAATGCGAAGAAGCCCTAGACAAATTCAACCTTATGGCGGCGTTGACACAAGAAGACCTGATTTTAGGTCCTTTCACCTCTGAAAGCCTTTTGGGCTTTACCGGGAAATTTGTACCGAGCTGCAGCTCATCTTCTAAACTATGCTTTGATGGCGGAAACAAGGCCCGTGGGACTTGCGACGTAAGTAATCTGGCAGGCGACTAGGGTGGCGACTTCCAATTGTGGCAGGTCATGTTTTTCAGGGGGATTCAGGCAGCCCACTCGTGTACTGCAATCGCCGCATTAACAGATTTGTGCAAGCTAGCTTGGTGAGCGAGGGAACCGGCCTATGCGGATCCAAGGACGATGACAGTTGGTTTCATAGTTCACCAAAGCCTGATATATTGATATAAGCCGCTCGGAATTTGTTAATTTCATTGGTTTTTAGCCATCGGGCCGGCTGTCTCTCGCCATTGCGATTGGATCGAGAAGACCATCGACAAGAAGATTTGCATTACCGAATAAATCTTTTTTTTTGTTATCTCGTTACCGCACGAAACCCACATCAAAAAATTTGGTGTGCATACAAGGTGCATGTAAAAATAGCAACCCCGGGGCTCCCATCGAAAAAGCAATATAGCCAAAATCTAGCGCGCCAGAAATTGTAAGAATAGTGATTTTTTTCATGAATAATAATTCGACGTGACGTTGCCTTATATCCGAACTCGGGGCATATAAGTTGTTACACCCAGGAGAAAGATATTACTTTCTGGAGTCCCTGAAAATGAGAGGACTTCTAGCATTCGCCGCCTGCTTGGTGGCAAGTGTCCAGGTATCCTCCTACATACAGCATTCTCATGAATGCTTTAGATAGCTGAAGCGCTTGTTTACAAGCTAGGCGATGAGGAGCCGCATACGGTAGGTCATTCTGATAGTGAAAAAACTGAAACTGCTGCCAGCCGTTTCCACGAAATCGGTACACGTTCAAGCGCGCGTTCAGGGAGTTGTACGCTTACACCTATTCACGCAGAGAGACAATCAAAAAAGGGGACGCAAGTTTCCATAGTGTATAAGTTAAACTCGGTATCCTTGCACTAAAAACGCAGTGTTTCTCGCTAGAAATTGGGTGTACAGGAAAAACCATGAGATCTGTAATACTACAGAAACGCACGCAAGCAAGGTGAGGTCTAAATTCAGAAAAGTCCGTTCAAAACAAAAAATAATTTAGATCGATCGCAACCTGGTCATCTCGCAAGGCTCTGAAAAGTCAGTGGACGAATACCCGTTTATGGTTTCGATTCAAGAAATGTAGGTTATAATTTTTATTTTGTTGTAATACGTTGCTTTCCGTTCCATTAAAAAATTCGTTACGTCCATTACAGCAACATGACCGAAGGCCTGATGGGCAACGGCTGCGGGGCATCGATCATCGACGAGAGATGGCTGCTCACCGCCGCGCATTGCTTGCCGCCGAATAAGTCGTGAGTAGATTAGATATTAATTTTATTAATTTTATGCCTAAGCAGATCTACCTCGTTAAACTCGTTCTATTATAAAAATTCTAGAGAACACGAGCACTACATCAGTGGCAGCCGCGCCCTTGTTGGCTCGAGCACTTATCCACGGTTGGAGCAAGATGCGGTAGTTTTCTCTTTATTTTAATGTTTCAGAAGTTATAGACGTACTTAATTACCTCTTACTTGCCTTACTTACTAAATGACGTAGCTACTTACTTACATATCTATCATACCTACCCAATTTCAGCAACTCATTGAGCTCGAAAGCCTGCACGGGCTCGTGACCCCCGACATTGGCCTCATTAAGGTTTCGACGCCTCTGTACGCCTGAAAATATAATATTTTAAGCTGCGGCATCCGATCAAGTTCGGAAAGCGGGTCCAGAAAATCCTGCTCAAGCGAAACCTGAAGGTCAAGAATGGCACTGCAATCCATATCATGGGATGGGGCTACGGTGCCCCATTGAGTAAGGAGCTACATCTCAATTAATTAGTGATTTTAATTGCTTAAATTTTTGGTAATGTATGGTAAATATCTTCAATGCCTTTAGATGCAAAGGGCGATCATCAGCTCCATGGCTACGTTGCCAATTTTTTATACAAGTGCAACGCTTGGATCTGCTTCCGCCACGAGCTGTCTGCCGTCTGCCCGGTCAGGTTTTGACCATTAAAGTTGGGCTTAAGATTATCAAAAACGTTACTTACCAGAATTCTGAAGCAAGTTGTTACAAATACCAATAATCAATTCCGTGGAGGTATAAATCCGAGATTTTCAGGGCGATTCCGGAGGTCCAATGGCCGTTCATGTCCCGCAGCTGGATGCCTACGTCCAGCATAGCCTAGTGCATGGCGTCGGCCCGGGCAAATGTGGAAGTGTGGGACAATTCAGTGAGTTTAAATTCCATTTCTGCCCTCGGATTATTTATTTCGAATTAAGATTATTAGATCGCTTTTCAGCCAGCGGCCCCGAGCTGGCCAACTACTGCGACTGGATCGACAAGACGGTGGGAAAGAAGATTTGCATCTAGGGCCAGTGTTGAAACCCAGAATAAAAGTTGATTGTTTGCCGCCAATTTTCGTTAATTTCAAAATGCAAACAAGCTGCGAAAAACTGGAAACTTGTATTACTGAGACGCTGTACGTCATGGCTACGTTGCAATTACAAAATGGCCCTTGAAAGTCGTGCTACCTTTTCTAAAGATTTTGTGCTCTCAGAGCAAGCCACAAATTTGCAGGCTAGAAATGGAGCCGACGAGACTTTCCGATTATGTCGCCCGAAGGCCTACTTTCTAAAGCGTCTATTCAAACTTGGCCGCGCCGTTCCGGGAGACTAGTCAGCTTTCATGGGCATACGGGAAAAGTCCGATTCTGCAAATTAATCAGCTGATCTGATTCCTATTGAAAACCATTGAAAGCTATACAATTTGATGTTCAAAAGAAAAACAGATCACTTGCTATAAATAGCAGCGTGCTAGCTTTAGAAGTATCCCTCCTCTCAGGATCTCCTCGTCGATGTCGCTCCTTTTCAGTTTTCTGGTAAGGCTACACATATTTTTCTTAAGTGAGGTTCAACCCAGATTAGCGTGTGCGGGGCCGATGAAATTCTGGATCGTAGTGATTGGCCGCATCATGTGGTATGTGTTATAGTAGTCTGCTCTGATTTTTGGTCGCCAAACTTCACAAAGGACTAGTCGGCTGATTCAACGTTTGCAGAGTAAAATCGTTCGTGGAGACAGGAAGTCGATCACCAACTTTCCGTATATGGCTTCGGTAGGAGCGTTGTAAGTTTTATAACTATTCTGGAACAGCAACCACGCTATCGCAAGATATTACGTTTTGAGTTCATAGCATGGGATTAAAGGGTATCCTAATAAAAAACACCCCCTTTTAACTCGACGCAGAAGTAGCGGATCCCAATGATAGTTACACCATTCGAAAGCCCTTGGAATGGCGCGTTCGTCACAATCTTCAAACCCATGTTTTACTGCGATTTGCCATTTTACAGGTATTGTAAAATTTTGCGATTTTTCGGCGTTGCACACCTTTAAATTTCTCCAAGAAAAATGACCGTAGGTTGCCGTTAATTAGATGCAAAGGCCGTTTTGTGTTGTTTTTAAATCCGTTATCTAATCGCGCCTTTAAATAAAAACCTGAATTGATTAAAACCTGAATACATTGCGGGAGCTTTTCAGGGATCCTGCATGGTTCTATAAACGAACCTGGCAGTAGACCTTCCGCTAACACACTCCCTTCTCCTTTTCAGCAACTCGACGTCCCAAGTCGTCACCACTCACTGGTGCGGTGCTTCGATCATCGACCATGAATGGCTCCTGACCGCTGCCCATTGTTTCCAAAATCTCACACAGGCTGACTGGTGGGTAGTCCTTTTTAAGTGCTGCAATTATTGACTCGGAGAGTTGTAGTACCCAAAAAAAGCCGACTGAAATTTTTTTTCCGTGAACCGATTTTGTCTTCGTCGTAATTTTCGGCTAAGACGCTTACCTTGTTGGCTGTACCGTTTTGTAAATTGTTTTGAGAGGGCTGCGCTAAACCGATAATCAGCAAAGCGTAAAAAGCTCAAACTTCTCATTTAGGCAGCAAAGAGGCGCGCTGGTCGGATCCGACTATGTCGAAGGAATCCCCGACGCCGGAGCGGTAGGTTTTTCCTGAAAATATCTTATCGACTCGACGGTGTCAAAATATATTTTCAGCAAATGCTCCCTATCGCGAATGGTTATGTGCACGAAGATCGTAACAATGACATCTGCCTCATCAAGGTTTGAATCATCATTGCATGATAACATTTCCTGATAAGCTCGGCCGCCCCATCAAATATGACAAGAGAGCGAACTCCCTGGTCCTCAAGAGGCATTTAGCAGTCAAGAATGAAACAAAATTTTATGTGCAGGGATGGGGAGAAACTCGACAAGGTAAGCCAGCCCCTATTAACACAACACCCCTGTTGGGCGTATTTTGGTACTCAATGGAACAAAGAGATGACTGAACTAGCCAGAATCGGCTTAGATTCGGGTCCGCGTAAGCCGTTGATGGGTTTTGTGATGCGATCAATTCCAAAAGCGGACTGCGTGTATCCAAGGGGACTCTGCTTCATCGATGTCCGAAACGATGCCACCGCGTGTTATGTGGGTTCCATCTCATATTGTTAGCTCGGGGTAGATGCCTTAGTAAACGGGATAGTATAGTCATATTTTAGGGTGATTCTGGCAGTCCGGTCGCCTACTATGACAGCAAACGCCGCAAATACGTGCAAGTAAGCGCGCTGCGTGGCATTACCCCAGGATGTGGAGCACCTACCACAATCAGTCGGTTTTTTGTGAGTTATATGTAGAAACCATGCATCGACCAAATGATGCCTAATACTGGGCGTAGAGACGGTATTCCTTTCACCGTGCCCCTCCATGCGCCAACTGGCCAGCCTGATTTAGCGAAGAACTTTCTTTCAGTGTTTGGCGTTAACGTCAGCGAATTTTGTGGCTGGATTGCGCACACTACCGGAAAGAAGATTTGTATTTGAAGAAAAATCTATGCCGAATAAAGATTGTGTTGACCCACGACGCAGCGTTGTTTAAATCGTGATTAGATAATAACCTCCAGCCGATCACGTCTAGCTATTTCTTCTTTTGCTCCAATAATTCTCTTAAAGCCAGCGAATACAAAACTCTCTACGCTCCAAACCAATTGAAATCCCGAAAACCAGATAAATAAAGAATCGATCTGACTCGTTTGAGTTTTTTGAATGTCCCTATTCAGGCCCAGACAAATCGCAGTTGGCAAATGGTAAGTCTATCCAAAACTATTGAAATGTCACATACCCTGTCATTCAAGCACCTATAAAATAGCGTACATCACCAAAAAAATTATTTGGGAATCGAAATGCATTCCCTAGCCTTGCTGCTCCTTGGTTGTCAGGTAGCGTAAAACACTTTTTGAGGCGTGATTTTTTTAGGCTGTTTGCGTACTGGGCCAACCGGACCGTGAGTTAGGACGACCGCCCTCTGTCGTTGGTTGCTAGCTTTAAAACGGAACCAAATTTCAGATCCGCATCGTTGGCGGTACGGAACGGCGCATCAGCGACTTCCCTTTTATGGCATCCCTGGAATCGTAGGGTTTTACAATAAACTAACTTACCGATTAAGACACTAAATGGCAAGCCAAAAAATCTTTAAGCCATTCTCCAAGGAGCCATTTCTGTGGCGCATCCATCATCGACGAACAATGGCTCTTGACCGCTGCCCATTGCATCGCGAAGCCAGGTTCAACGCAGATGTTGGTAACTCTCGGACAGGCCCCGACTTCGAGTAGCTTTGACGTTGCACTTCCTTGCTTCGACAAATCAAGCTCATTTCAGGAAGGATTTGAGCAGCACGGTCGCCATCGTTGGTTCGACATTCATCGTCAAAAGGATGGATTACGCCGGGGTTCGTGTTTTTTTGCGGGGTCGGAAACGATCGTTAAGCAAGCCATGCAAATCGAATCTGGACGCATCCATCCAGAATACGCACGTATCGCTGATGGCGGAAGCGATAATGACATTGCGCTTGTCAAAGTGGGATTTCACCTCCTGAGAGATTTTTCTCTTTTTAGCTTCGCCAGCCCCTTACTTATGGGGAGACTGTAAAAAAGTTGATGCTGGCACGAAACTATACCATTGTCAATCCCGGTGGACTGGATGTAATCAGCGTTGGGTGGGGAGCCATGAACGCGGACGGTAACCTTTTAATCATGCGTATTAATATGATGTCATATGATTTGCTAATTGGTTTTGCTTGGATATTATTCCGACAATTTGAAAGGCATTCAAGCGATGCTGTTCGAGCCAAAACGCTTTGTAACTTCTTCAAAATGAACAGTTAGCGGTTTCTGAGACCAGATTCAAAATCAACACAAATTTCTGCACAAAACAAAGTATTCCAAAACTCCAAGACTTATTTGCATAAACTTCAGCCACACCGAGTCATGGCGTCCTTCCCAACCGGCTGATCGGCTACACGGCAAAAGTCGTGCCGCTCGAGCAATGCACGCTTAAGGCCGACGTTTTGCACAAATTCTGCTTTGACGGGAAGATCAAGACCGCCGGGAACTGCTTTGTAGGTTTTAGACAATTACACGAATATTTTTATAAGGTTAAATTTATGCTATTTTCTCCTTTTCAGGGCGACTCCGGCAGCCCGCTCGCCATCCACGACAAGAAGTACCGCGATTTTGTTCAGATCAGCTTGAACAGCGCCATCAGCAACGACGCTCTGCCTTGCGTGCCAGAAGTCTCGAACATTAAGACATACCCTTCAAGAGATGTCTCAAAAATGTCTTCCTTTCTTAGCCATCGGTCCTGACGTCTCCTACTATTGTGATTGGATTGAGGAAACGACGGGAAAGAAGCTTTGCATTTGAGGCACAATAAAATCTGAACGGCCTGGCGCACGAAGCAACGTGATTGTTCTACGGTGCTCCACACAATCTTAGGTCCACCCCCCCAAAATTGGGAAATTAACATTTTTAGGTACTTTTGTAAAAAGGCAACAATATCAGCGTGGGGTAAAAGGTATTTCAAAAATATACCACAAGAGCCAGTGCCGATAAATGGTTAGATAAAATTTAACATATAAATTTAACATACTTACAAATTATATTGTAATGGAATATTCAAAGTGAATTTCCATTTGTGACTTTATGCTATCTTATATTTTTCGTAGTTGATTTGAAAGCATTCGCCATGATCGTGGATGATCGCATTGCTACGTGGCCCGGCCTTGAACCTGGATAATCTTATGAGTCTTGCTTTGCGGCCGCATGAAAATTATTGCGATGATTCTAAAAGAAACTATTTTATTTGAAATAAATTCAATATTGTATAAGCTCCATCTGAAGAATTCCACAACTTACCCAACTCCCAAATTTTTGATAATTTCGATAATGACCTGCTCGGTGTACTTTATTGACATCCACCAATAGTTGCCGAGAAATAGGTTGATAAAGCACGAGTTAAAAGACGTAATTTCGGGCCAGAATAGATTATCGAACGTGGAACAGCACAACTAAAACCAGGCCAACCTCAAAAAAAGAGCTTAGCAGACCGTGGCCAGCAACAATTTTTCGCCTTTCGACACCGTGCCGTCTTTCTTGGTCTGAAACAATAAGGTTCTTTCGCATTCGGGGAGACCGATTTGGGGAGAAATTTTGTCTGCAAGTTTAAATAGTTTCAATTGCAATGAGGAATGTTTATTAGTATGTGGCATACAAAGTAATTTCAATTTTGAGGGAAGATTTTCAGATTGAGATTTTCAATTTTGAATTAAAAGGAGAAAAACGTTGAGCCGAAACGCTAGTGTTTTTTGTTTATTCAATAAAAAATTTCTATTACATTATTTGGGGCTGAAATTAATTCTCTTAGTATAGTTTTCGACGCTCTATCGAATGGCACTCGCAAAATCCCTCAGTAATTGCAAATGTCATAATAATGAGTGCCCCCCCGTTATTTTATCCCCCCCCCGTTACCCTATGTGTACCTTGTTTAATGTTTTTTGCTGCAGAAATAATTTGTGGTTATATCCTATCCTATAGGCGAGAAACGTATGTCCGTTTCCTGTAATGAGGATTTCTCGGCCGTCTGGCCGAACTTTGTCAGGCACATTGTCAGACCCGCATTTTTTTTGGTTTCTGGAAATTCCTTCATTTCACAATTTTAAAAGTGGGAAAGTTAAAATTCCTTAACAAAGTAGGCTCGGTTGAGGGCCTTTTTGGGGGAGACCTTTTGGAGGAAAACTACCTTCTGAATTTTGTAGTAAGCCAGGACTTCGAAAGCGAACGTCAAACTCATCAAAACGTAGACATATCCCACGGTTTGAATCCAATATTCCGTATAGCCTTCCGTGTACTTTTTCATAGCAAACCATTCGGGATAATAGGTGAGGTACGGAAGGAATAATTGGACGAGTGGCCATTTAAGTGTATAGTGAAAATAGGCACCATCAAAGGAGAGCGCAAGGAAACAACTGAAACTTTTTATAAAACAACAAAAAGGTCTGGAAAATAGTTCTTAGGGTATACCTAACTTTTTCTAATTTTTTTGCTTCTCGAACTCATACAGTCCTTAAAGTCACCATTTTTGAGCATTTTCCAAATTTGAAGGCCCATAACTTTTAAGTTAGCTCAAACAACAATAATATGAATTAGTTATAGCTAAAAAAAGGTTGAAAACTTTACAAGAACACAACCTGTATTTACAAACAAAACCTAACCTAACCCCAACCCTAAGAAACGTCCTACCAAAAAACCATCCAGTCGCGCTGAAAGTTCGCAATCATCCCTAGCGCCTTGACCACTACATAATCGAACCATGGGGCGGTGTCCCAGATCCATATTAACCAACCTGGCGGTTCGATTTCCTGGGGCCAAAATCTATGAAAATTTCCGGTCGTTTCGCATTATCAGGGGGGGGAGCAATTTACCTGTTCAAGCTCCATTCAAGCGTAAAGTTGAAGACGGCAAATAGATTTGTGATGGCCACGTTGACGAATTGAGCCCCAAAAACGAGTCGCGTGGCCAACGAGAGCGACTTATTCCGTATTATTACCACTGCCGCCATTGAATTGACAAACAGGGCGACATACAGCGCCTAAATTCGAAAATTTGTAAAAACATTGCTACATATGTTTTCGCAAGTTTACTTTACGAATTTTCCCTGCCATTGTCAAATATTGAACTGCCTTTTTCGCAACTTGGTTCTGCCTGCCTACCCCAGCAAGTGGATAGTTCAGAATTGTCTTGAAATTCATATAATCTTCCATCGTTAAATCCTCTTCAGGCGTTGAGTTCATTCGGGCCAGCCGAACTTCGCTGGTCCAAATCGCCAGCCGGGTCATTCCTTGCGCGAAACCTAAATTTAAGAAATGACCAGGGTTGAAAAACCGCTTCGCGGCTTTTCAACCCTGGCCCCGTCTAGGATTTATGAAACTTTGCATAATTCTTTCCGAAAACCGATGACCAAAAAATGAAAACCACGCCCTCCCTTCCTTTTATAAGCCATCTCCACTTCCGGCGTATGCTAATTTTCCCTAACAAAGAGGCAAGCCAAGATTTTTACAAAAACCTAATTTTAATAGCGAAAATAGCAATTTTTCAAAGATTTTATGTGTGTGCAGTCGATTCCAGCCCCTTCTTTACCCTATGACGTTTCTTCCCTACCAAAAAAATGCTTCCCTGAGGCTGTAGGTGCGGAACATCCAAACGGAAGTGTATGCAAATATACACACACACACACACAAACACTATTTTTTTATATATAGTAGGATGAGGCCGTCTTTCATAAACCGACCCCGGGCCCGCATTCCTTGGCTTAACCGGCCGACTTTTTAAATACAGGAATTCTTCCTATGAATCCAGAAATGCCCAGTAATGTGGTAATAACTTTTTTTACAGTCGGTGAAAATTCATCTATAGTAGTGGAAAACACAGATAGTTAGAAAAAATTTTAGTCGACCTGAGCCGCGTTGGTGGATCACCCGCGTTCAA